CACACACACACACACACACACACACACACACACACACACACACACACACTATCACACCAAATATTCAGGTGCTAGCCATGATGACTTCCAGTGTAATAAAATAGAAATAAAACGCACTGTAAAAGCTATGTTTCTTCACTCTGTAAAATACTAACTATTACATACCAAAAATGAACGCACTAGAGCGTTATGACTAGATTAGTGTGACGGGATGTTTTCTATCCCTTGCTATAAGCTCTCTGTGGACAGACAGAGGATGTCGCTGAACTTTATGAATAATTAGACTGCAATAATTCAGTATTTATCACATTAACCAAATATAAAATTTATCAAATCCATAGCATAAGGCCAGCCTAAATTTGCTATAGATACCAATATAAACTTTTTAATAAAATGTACTTTATTTTATTTCAGGAAATAACCAGAAAATCAGGGTAAATATGAGAGCTGTTCTGCAACAAAGCGTTGTAGGCTATAATATTACTATTATACTATCAATATTAGCCTAAACTATTAATGTTACACTATTAATATTGTCCTTTTCACCAACACAAGGAGGTCTGGAGATCTCCCATGAATGTAATTGTTTTACTTTTGTTTGTTTTTTGTCTTGTTAAAAAAAATAAATTAGTGTTGTTTAACAAAAAAAAATAAAAATAAAAAAAGTACACGCGATGCTTTCAGCAGCTCTGTTATTACAATTACTTAAAGTTAGTGCACCACTCATATTTTGGGGCTATTCGATATCAGCCAGGAATATGAATATTTCAGTAGAGAAGTTAAGCTGTCTTCACACGTCTAAACTGACGCCAAAAAAGTCTATAGTTGCTATTAAAACTATTTTTATTTATTAGGTTGAAGTCCAGCCAGAGTTCAAAGTATTTTGAAGGGCAGTAATACTAATATATAGACACTTGTGTAGTCGTCTCCGAAGAAGGGTAAAAAAAATGCCAGTTTAATGATTTAATCAACATTATTATTAATATTACGACGTTTGGGCTGCATTACTTTAACATGTGGGGCGAAATTGTGGGAGTTATTAATTACTCCAATCTTCCAATAAAATACACTGATATTCCTGTTGCGGCGAACCCGACATCAATACATAACTATAAACTGTGTATCCAGACAGGTTGTTGCCGTCATAGCTAAAATTCTAGTTACAAGATGCCTATATTTGAAGGTTCTGGGGCTTTCCGTTTAGTTCTGTAAGTGTAATGTAGCCTAAAGGAGCTGACTTGTTTGTTTCTTACAACATTTATATTTTTAAGGATTAAATAACAGCTAGTATCAGAGGTGGTCATCGGATGATGGTGGTCTAAATAAATAATGATTAAACCTTCTTAAAACTGCTTCTTAGATTTATCTGGAGCCCTGCCTGCGCGTGTTTGTTTGTTTGGAAATGCGGCTCTCTTTTGCACCCAGCTGCCACAAATTCCAATTTTCTCTTTGCACAACTCACAGGTCGTAAAAGCGTTTTACGACCTGACCCTGTTCGCCATTGGCCGCTCACTGTCATGTGTGCGCGTGCAGTGTGCAGACAGCTTTGCCTCGCGCGCTCTCGACACCACAGAAGTGTTTCTCGGCATCCGCGCGCCTCCATGGACGGTAAACAATTTCTTACTTTTTATTTTTGTCTCTCTACTGTTCTCACCCTAAGGTCTTATTTTTTTTTAAATAACTCGTTACATTTTTCGTTTGAACGTTAAGACGTCATATATACGGTTTACTTTACTTGTTTACACATATAAGACAAGTTTCTAACCAACAGGCTGTCAAGAAAGCAGTGCTGAAAATGAGACGTATTTTTAGACTCTTTTCATTATGTGCAGGCCTTTTACAAGCCTCGTGCTATTTGCGCTGATTTCTGACTGATTTAATCATCCTTTCTTTTTCTCCTTTTCCCCCCCTGCTTATTTCAGAATGCTGTGGAAGAAAATGGAGTCCAGTAGACTGATGATGTCAGGTACTACTTCTGACTAATTCTTTACTATCTAGAACTATCCAGAATGTAATTCAGCAATGTAATTGAGTCCTCACAGTAGTTGTGTTTTTCTGCCGACTAATATCCAAGGTTCAATAAGCTCTCATGTTATGCTGCAGAAATATTTAACTTTGTGCACTGTGTGCAAAACCGTGCACCCTTACTAAATAACTGAATTTGTAATGATGGTATTAATGCTTCAGGGTCTGTCTGTACACACAAGAAACAGACTGAAACAGACTCCTCTTTAACTCTTTTTATCCAAATGATGAAACCAAATATTAATACTATTGTAAAAAAAAAAAAAAAAATAAGGGAAAAAGAGAGAAGCAGCATCCTTCATATTTGCATATAACTGAATTGGGTTAATTACCTTAAATCAAATATGAAAAATGCATCATTTGAATCTATATAAATACTATACATTTAAAATTTATATTGTAAAACAATAATATAATTGTAAATATACATGATGTACATGACGGTGATATAAGGCCTGATTCCTCTGAGTCTTTAACATACATTTAAGATCACATGACAATGTGCACATGCATATGCTAGCCCAATATTCAAACATATTTGTCTGTTTCAGCCATCAATGCAATCTTTATCTGTAAATGGCTCCATGAACCATTGGGGTGCAACACTAACAGGACACCTGGTGGCTCTTTTGAGGCAAACTGCAAAAATATCCCCAGAAAGCAATTTTTTTTTTCATTCTCAGGGGATTATCTGGCAGTATTATGACAAAATATCATCTCCTTACATGTTATCTTTAGTGCTTGTTCTGCTATCTGTCTCAGTGCTGATACTTTTCAAGGTCTTTATGTCAGAAATTCAATTTCTCCTTCTTTCCCCTGTAAGTGTACTTAATCAGATGGGCAGAATCATACAGAAGGAATGCTTTCCCCCATGTTTTTGTTTTCGCTGATGTCCCTTTTTATGAGGGCAAGTGTCAGAGAGACAAAGAGACAGAAAGACAGTGTTTTCTCCCTCTTTTGAATTTTACTTTTTTTTTTTCCCACAAGGGCAGCAGGCGGGGTGTGAGAGATACAGAGAAACAAAGACAGTATTTCACTGGTGCTGCTCACTCAAGCTCAGCTGGCACTGAGTATTTACAACCTACTGCAATGCGGCAAAGACTCTGTGTGTGTGTGTGTGTGTGTGTGTGTGTGTGTGTGTGTGTGTGTGCGGTCAATGCGTATAAGACAGAAACAAAGAGACAAAAGGAGATAGGGAAGATAGTGACGCAGAGAACGAGGCAGACATTAAATTAAAGCCTGTGACAGACAGAAAGAAAGCCTGAGAAAGAATGACAAAGATGTGTGAGATGAGTTTGTGTGTGTGAGGCATAAAACATGCCTGTTTCTCTCTCTTTGCAGTGCAGTGCAAAAACCCAAGTTTCAACTGGATGTTTTTGAAGACAAAAACAGACTGCAGGTTTGTCCAGGGGGCTTCATTTCACAGTTTTCCTCGGCAGACATCGAGGTTTAAGTTGCTTAAACACTATCAAATTTCAGGCTTGATCATGCAGGCTGCTGTTTATTTCTGTTTTAATAGTCCTTCTGTCATGGCTCGTATTTGGTGTTCGGCACAGTTCAGCTCATGCTTGAGCATTTAAATAACAATGTGTTTCTTTATAAAATGTCCTTATTTCCCAGCATTCACACAGTTCGGCTAAATTGGCCATTATCACTGAATGCAAATACTTATTTACAAGCAGTGATTGCCTTATTGATCCTGTCATCTAACTTTCTTAACTTAGACAAAAACATAGACCAATTTGGGGGAACTTCTAGGCCTGGAGTGCTAATGTTATTATTAACCAGCAGGGGGTGCTATTTGCCAGGAAATCGGCAATGTACACTGCAGCGCACACTGCAGATACTGCAAAATATCCATCCACCTTTATCACAGTGCTAACAAACACATAGATAGAAAAATACAGGAGACAGTTTAATCCCACTTCATTCAAGACAGAAAAGGGAACGGCTTTTAAAAGCCAGTAACACAAAGCCCAAGAGCATTATCAAATTTGTAGCACATTAAAAAAAAAAGTATATATATATATATATATATATATATATATATAATATATATATATATATATATATATAACTACTAACAAGGAAAGACTTCAGACTTCCAATACATGTGAGCTGGCGCTATTCGGTGTCGTTTGACCACTAGATGGCGTTAGAGACCCAAGGATGACATTTTTAAACAATGGCCTCAGCTAGCTGCACAAATTGAAGCTCTATGGATTTTTAACAGCCGCTGTTCAGACTGGGGTAGCAACACCATCTTCATCCTCCTCACGGTCCAGCCCCGTTATGACGTTCTTTTCTCCCACTTACATTGAATGCACCTGGAGCAGGGGGATTTTCTCCCGCTTAGTGTCCCGGGATCATTTTGTTTGGTCTGGATGGGATTTTATGTTACAGCTGCTAGGGGGAGTCATTAGGCAAGACGCCAAGCCAAGGTGCTATAAATCAGGGAGTCAAGTGGCTTGTGGTTTTAAAAGCACCACTAAAGCTTCAGTGATGGAAAGATTTATACAAAACGCGTACGAACGCCGTTGATCAGTGAAAGTTTGGCTTAATATGATTCATAATTATTAATTAGCCAAATGTTGAATATTTGAGTGTATTGTGCATCATCTTTTCAAGGGAGGAATAAGCCAAAACTAAAATCAATAAAATCTGCCATACTAGGAATAACGATATGTTTAAAAGAACCGATGAAATGCGTTTTATTGAAGTGTTATTGGCTTGTACGCACCAGTAGCCTGTGTGTATGAATTAGGCTCAATTGTTACCATTGTTTTTGTTATTCATATTTTTTCTTCTTATTATTAGTAGCAGTAAGTTCGGTTATTAGGTTTTTGAAGCATTGCTACGTCATTAGAGAGATTCTTGTATAACATTTGGTTAAATGTCTTGTTTGTGCCCAGCAGCCGCAAAGCTGCTAAAGCAAGCATACCGGTGTCCAGTCTGTTTTCACAGAGCAACTTTTATGGCTTTATTGCTCCCCATTTACGGAAATCAAAGCAGGAAACAAATGCTCCAAACAGCATTCCAGACACATCCGGAAAATGCAAAAGGCGTTCAGTCTCTGCTTGTTTTAGAGGAAAGCACTGCAGTGCAAACCACATGAGTCTCATGGGAGTGACAGCATGCAGACTCCCCATTTTACGCACACAAAGTATTTTATGCACGAAAATGTATCTGTTAAAAGAAATTTTTAATGGTAAAAAAAAGGCGTTAGATTGAAAATGGGGGAAAAATCAATATATTTTAGAAATGAAAGATAAAAAGGATTTGAAGCTTCAATAAATTGAGAAACCCGTATTCAAAGAACATTTAAGTGAGAAGGAAAACGCATTTCTATATATATTTATATCAAAAAAAGACCACAAAACGGTTAATTTTTAAATCTCCAACAGCACAACCCCCAGAGATTAAAGCTCCCCTTTTTTTCCTTTGGCGCCATTATCGAATAAAGTGGTTCTGGTGCAGGGCCTAATAATTTATGAACCCTTGTGGGAGTTGCAAGAAAAAAAAAGCTGAGCACGTGACGGTAATAAAGTGTGTTTTATTGCCGGAGCTTTGACAAGCCCCAAAATATAACTCAGAGAGAATAGCCGACAGGCGGCCAGATGGGATTGGTAGCCGATATTTGTCCGAAATCAACAGAATGCGCTTTGTATTGCTGAGAGAAACAACCGAGACGGTCTCCACGCTCAGCTTCGATCCGCTCTAACGGGATTTTACACTACACTAACGAACGATCGCGTTTTAACGCGAGAGCAGGACAGAGCAAGTAAGTGTGTTTCGTTTTTCATATTTGGCGCAGATATGAAGTTATGACTATGGGGCAAGGGGGGCAGGAAGAACATGGGTGGGGGAAGTGATCTCCGAATGAAAGCGGTGGTCGGGAGACCCCCGAGGGCCCTTGGTAGAGTGAGAGAGCGGTTCAGAGAGCCACCTGTAGTCCAATATATAATCGAATTAACTGAAGCAATAAATACGTTTGGACTGAAAGTAAACTTACATCGAATTTGTGAGAAAAATGTTGACTTTCCCATTTAGTTCGATTTAAGGCGTGTTTTAGTAGAAAGAAATCTGAAGAAATATTTGTTTGCTATATATTGTCTCAGATCTAATATTGAAACTGCCGGTATATACTCCAGTACTCAATATATATGATTTTCTTCAAAAAACAAAATTATCCACTTACACCTCTTTCAAGGAGAAAAAACCCTCTTTCAGTGGGGGACTGTTTAGGATCACAGGTTTAATGTTGCTGTCTGCATTCAGCTCATTGCGGACAAATGATTGATGCCGAAAAGCTGTTCCTCTGATTCTGGAAGAAAGATAACAGTAGTCAGAATTTTTAACGTGCTCTGTAGGAAGTCCTTAACATGAAACTCTATATCCGTTCTCGTGTGTGTGTGTGGGTGTGTGGGTTTACGATTTCCATGTGGCATATGTGTGTGTTCCTAAATCGGAAAACGGTAGCCTGCATCCTTTCTGAGGCGGCTTTATTCCATATGTTGAGGATTGTCTTGCTTGTGTACATTTCGAAAAATATAACCTCCCATTTAGATTATTATTATTATCAATAATAAAACAAATCATAATAATATTAATATGAATATCCTGTGGAATAATTTAATCAGGCTGGAGAAGTGCAATAATGCAAAACTAACCAGTCGCTTGCTTGGGAACTACACTTCTGTTTGGCGCATTCAAAATGATTTTACTATTGTCGTTACTCGGCTCATGTTTGTATGGATATGTAAACGCAATCAGATAACAGGAGTTATGGCGTCTTTGTTGAGATGTTAAATTTTTACCGCTATCTCTCTAACGCCAAGCCCCGCTCCCTATAGGCTATAAACAGAAGCCAGAAGAGAACTATAAACCAGTGGTTTATGGCAAGGGGAAAATTTTGATTATACTCACAGCTGGGCACTCCGTTCAAGAGAGGCATGACAATTTAAAAAATACATGGCAGCAGGGACATTAATCTTTTAAATAACTAAATAATGGTTACGACTGCGGAGAGGGGAGCCTCACTAAGCTGCAACAACAAATTTTGCAATTGAGGCATCTTTTTTCACATTTTAACTTAAAAGTGAGTTCAGTCTTCTGAAGACGGATTGTTGGAAACAAAAGCAGTGTGTGTGTGTGTTACTTATTCTTATTTTGGCTTAACTGTATATATTTTTTAATATGTCATTTTGTTTTTTCCGTAAAATTAAAGAATTTAATTGTTTACATACCGGCAACCATTTCGAACTGGTGCAGCG